ATCCTACTTGCCCCAGAGCTTAGGTAAAGGACCATATCACAGAATACCACCAGGCACAGGTGATACCGTTAATCCTGACTACAGAGGTACTGGAACTGACTCTAGTCACAGGAGATTTAGACTTACATCACCTATGTCTAGTTCCCAGACAGGTGCACCGAGGAACCAGTACCAACCACCAAACGAGAGAATTTATCCTCATTCTACAAGGTCACAGGAAGTCATTTGCTACAGATGTGGTTACCCAGGACACATTGCCATTGGATGTCGAGTTCGTCTGGACCATCTTCGTCATCCTTTAAACTGGCAAGGGTGTATGGGCAGGGGTCACCAATAGACTCGCTTCAGAACCCCAACAGAGTACCTGAAGAGTTAGTTGGTTGTGCAAACGAAGACAACATCCTGCTTGATGGTAAACCTGTTCGAGCCTTGCTGGACACCGGAGCGACTGTGTCCATTGTATCTGAAGCATTTTTATGAGAAACAGTTATAGCACATTGCCTTACAGCCACAAGGAGATATATTGGACATTGAGTGTGCTGGCGGCGAGACATTGCCATACAAAGGATTTATTAAAGTGGATGTATCTGTCACTGGAGGAGGTGTTGATGTTGGTGCTTCTAGGAACAAACATCTTAACCTGTTTATTGAATACCTGCAGGAATCAACATGGAGTCAAGTTTCTACAGAAAGCCCCATTGCACACACCATGGTATTTAACCTACAGGACTATTGTTCTGGGAGAAAAGGAACTGGAAAGGAACAAGTGGAGACTTGGACTGGTGAGGAGCGCTGAGGAGAAGAATGTTATGATCCCTGCTAATAGTATAGTTGTAGTGAAAGGTCAGCTATCAAAGGGACTGAAGACACCTAGACTTTGTGCCCTCTTACAACCAACTTCCCAGGCCTCCATTTCTTCTGATGTTGACATAGCTCCAACAGTTATCACTTATGATAAGAACAGTCCTGATGACATTGAAGTCCATGTTTTCAACGTCACCACCCATACTATAGTTATACCTCCCCGATCGTTACTTTGTGAACTGCAACCAGTGACTCTGCAAGAAGCACCATGTGGACAACCTGTAGATGAGGAGACTCTAATGGAACAATTGGATATAGAGAAAGAGGATTTGACGTCTCAGGAGATAGAGCAAGGTCTTGATGTTATCCTGAGGTTTAAGGAAATTTTTTCCAAGCATGAAGGGGATCTTGGCCACTCATCAGCTGTTCAACACAGAATTGATTTAACCAATGATCATCCTTTCAAACAGAGACATCGTCGAATACCACCAGCCATGTTTGATGAGGTTCGGAGTCACTTGCAACAACTCTTGTCTGCCGGGGTCATCCGAAGTTCTCACAGCCCTTGGGCATCAAATGTCGTCTTAGCAAGGAAGAAGAATGGAACTCTGAGGATGTGTATAGATTTTAGACAGCTTAATCGTCGTACCATCAAGGATGCTTATGCCTCACCACGTATCGAGGAGCTGTTAGACTGTTTGGGAGGTATGACCTACTTTTCGGTTCTCGATATGAAGAGCGGGTACCATCAGGTTGAGATCAAGGAGAGCCATAAGGAAAGAACTGCCTTTACTGTTGGACCTTTGGGTTTCTTCGAATATAACCGAATGCCATTTGGACTCTCCAATGCCCCAGTGACTTATCAGCGTCTTATGGAACAATGTCTAGAGGGTCTCCATCTGAAGACTTGCCTCATCTACCTTGATGACCTCATCATCTTCTCCAAGACATACGAGGAGCATATTCGACATCTGGAGATGGTTTTCAAGCGACTCCAAGAATGTGGCCTCAAGCTTGCTCCGAAAAAGTGCAAATTTTTCAAACGCCGGGTGAGATATGTCGGGTATATCGTTTCTGCTGATGGTATTGAGGCAGACCCAGAGAAGGTGGACAAGATAAAGAACTGGCCAACACCATCAATACCTGAGGAAGTTAGAAAGTTTCTTGGATTTGCTGGTTATTACCGTAAATTTGTGAAGAATTTTTCCAGTATTGCAAGACCTCTGTTTGACTCGATGCCAAAGACTGTCAAGAAATCAAGGAAACAAACCTCAAAGACAAAGGATTTTGAGTGGGGTCAGGACCAGCAAAGAGCCTTTGATAAGATCAAGATGCTCCTTTCTATGCCTCCGGTTCTTGGGTATGCTGACTACACAAACCCCTTTCGAGCTTCATACAGATGCAAGCAGTCAAGGTTTGGGAGCAGTGCTCTATCAGCACCAGGATGGCCACCCACGGGTCATAGCATACGCAAGTAGAGGACTGAAACCTTCTGAATGAAACTACTCTGCCCATAAATTGGAATTTTTGTGCTTAAAGTGGTCAATTTCAGAAAAGTTCCACGATTATTCGTATGGCAATGACTTCATCGTGATGACTGATAATGAAATAAGACAAGACCAGATAGGACACAGTTTCTTGAGAATCAAGAGATGACAACCCTGTTGAAGAGTTTTCAACACTTTCAACTGAAGCGAGGTGTTCTGTATCGAGTCATCAACAGAGATGGAGAAGAACAGGAACAGTTAGTCCTTCCAACCAGATGTCGATCGGCCGCATTACGAAGTCTCCATGACAATGTTGGACATCCAGGGAGAGACAGGACCTTGGCACTTATCAAAGACAGATTTTATTGGCCTGGAATGACAAAGGATGTAGAGGCCCATGTTCAACAATGTGTACCATGTTTGCGTCGTAAAACACCAACGGGAAGAGCACCACTGGTCAGTATAGAAACCTCACAGCCTCTAGAGCTTGTGTGCATGGACTTTCTCACTCTAGAGCCATCAAAGGGTGGGCAGCAACATGTTCTAGTAGTGACTGACCACTTCACCCGTTATGCCAAGGCCTACCCAACCAAGAACATGACGGCCAAGACAACTGCTGAAGTTTTCTTCAACAATTCCATCATACATTACGGGATTCCTAAACGCATCCACTCGGATCAAAGAGCCAACTTCACTGGTAAGCTCATGCAGGAGTTATGTCAGCTGCTGAAGATCAACAAGTCACGGACTACACCATACCACCCAATGGGGAATGGAATGTGTGAACGCTTCAACAGGACTCTCTGCAACATGCTTGGGACTCTTGATCCGGACAGTAAGAAGAATTGGCGAGCCCACGTTGGACCATTAGTGCATGCATACAACTGTACTCGCCATGAATCTACAGGCTTTGCACCATTCTTTTTGATGTATGGACGCCATCCACGTCTCCCAGTGGACATAGCCTTTGGACTTGACATGGAGACAGCCAAGCAGAAGTCCATGGCCAGTTACACTAATGAATTGAAAGATCGCCTCACCCAGGCCTATGACATAGCCGCTACTGCTGCCAGGAAATCCCAGTCCAGGAACAAGAGTCTCTACGACCAGAAAGCTAGAGCAGCCATTCTTGAAAAAGGTGACAGAGTACTTATGAAGGTTGTTGCATTTGATGGCAAGCACAAGTTAGCTGACAAATGGGAGCAAGACATTTATGTTATCTTGGACCAACCAAATCCATCCATACCAGTGTTTGTCCTTGGTAAGGAGAATGGACAAGGACGGACAAGAACCTTGCATAGGAATTTATTACTTCCCAAACCAAGAAAAAACAAGCCTTCACAACCAACACCAAAAGTTAAGCAGACACCCACAGAAGACACCACAGGCAGCTCACAGAGTGAAGAGGGACTAGACGAAGGAGAAGACATTGTGTTCATCTCCACTCAACATTTGGATTCTTCAGGGTCAGCTCTTTATCAAGCTGACAGGCCACTTGAAGATAAGCTGAATGAAGATACTGAGAATGAGGACCAGACCAACTTTGAAACTGAGGAAACTGTAGATGCTGAAGAACACGAGCAGCATTCGGAAGAATCTCCAGTTCAGCCTGTGGATGTCCCAGCCGACACAGAACCTCCAGCTCATCCTGTGGATGTCCCACCAGACACAGAACCTCCAGTTCAGGTTGTGGATGTCCCACCAGATAGAGAGCCTGCTGCTGATACACCACTGCCACCAGACCCTCAACCAAGGAGATCCGTTCGAGATCGGAGACCACTCAGTTGGATGAGCAGAGGCGAGTTTGCACTTTCGGCAGTTACTCAACCAGACTGGTTAGCTCGAGCAAACTATCTCAGTTCTCTAATAGAGGAGGGGGGTGCTCGAGGGCCAACCAAAACGTCTTTCCGATGCATTACTGGATTTGGTCACCGGAAAGAATAAATGACGAGGACGTCATTTCAAGGAAGGGGGAAGTGTGTGGCAGATATAACTTTGTACATAGGGATTTTATTATTTTAATGTTTTCTATTCTGTATATATATATTTATCAGTAGGATAGTTAAGATATAGGTCATGTGTCCCTCAAGCCCTTAACAAACTCAAGCCATGACGTGCTAAACTGATTGGCCAAGCTAACCCTCCAAGTTAAACCCTTTGTCTAATAGCTTGCACTCAGTCTGCACAAAGTCACTCCACAGACAAGTTGACAGGGACTGTTCAAATCAGACAAATATTGCTGTGCTGGTCGACACCCCAGTCTCATCCACAGGGGTGAATTATCGAAATGCTCCTTCGGTTCACTTCATGGTCAGCTAAACGTTCTAAAACAATCATTTGCGTATATTAAGAGTGTTTTGAAAACAGATCAAGAAAAGAAATGTGGTATCTGCAGAAATACACTCGCATTTGCAAAACATAATCTTCCAAGGGGAACCTTTACAGATTGGTAATCCTGACCTCTTGTTGAAAGGGTGCTTTGGTAGGCAAGCCATGCCGACGGCCCGATCTCAAACATGTTATCATATGTAAATTGAAATGTCATGTCGAAGATCCGGATTCGATTACTTAAATGGGTACAATGAGTGAAGCGCATTTCTGGTGTCCCCCACCATGGTATTGCTGGAATATTGTTAAACGCGTAACCATAAACATTCATATATACAAATGAAAGTTGTCAAAAGAGTAGATGTGTTTCTTTATATCTACCTTTGTCAATTATATAGTAGCGAATGTTGAGTGCTTCTTCCAGGTCCCCTCTATGGTACACCGGGTCCATCAGTGTGTTGGAGAGGTAGCAGTATCCGTCGCGTTGGTCATAGAAGAAAGAGTTACATCTAATGTCCTCCAAACACTTTGAAGCACATTTGACACGAGACATGGATACGTTCACTGGGATGACGTCTGAAGGTAACAGTCGAGTAAATCCCAAAATAAAGTTAACTGACACACACAGGAAACAGGACATTTTTACAACTTGTTCTTGTCGCCCTACTCTGAGAATAGTACATGTTGTCAGGAAACTGATGAACACATACATTATTTCAGGCTTTGTTAATGGAATCGATTCTTGGAACGTGGTTCCACCAATAGATTCTGTGTACCAACTGGCTATAACGACACGCACCTGCAATTCTTTACATAAGATCTGCGATGACACAAAGGGGTTTCAAATTCTACTCAATAATTATAGACTGAAACAAGACGACTGGTAAACAAATAATGCCATTCTTAATGTTAAAGATACAAGAACATTGAAACAGCGATTTCCTCGCGCATTAATTGTCAACTAAGACATAAGGCCTGTAGCTTTTCTCTGGACTACGAGAATGCTTGTCTGTTGTTGATATGTGTGTCTATGTTGATGCATGGGAGTTACATTCGCCTTCGTGTTAACACAGCTTCGTGTAACGAGACTCTCAAACATATTTGATCTTGTACTTTGTGACGGCTGTGTCATGGCACAGAGCTTTGAATATGTACGGGCTATTCTCTGTGTTGTATATTTCAATGCCTGTAGTACGAAACTGTGAGTCGTAAGACAATAATCGCAAATTGTAAAATGATCGTTGTCTTTCATGCCAACTAAACAAAGCTTTGTTTGATAACCTTCAGTCTATTGTTGCCTGAAAACCCTCTGCAATACGTTTTTCTCTCTTGAGGATGAAATGAAATATTTATTCGGGTACTGATTGACATGAAGACTTCCATGAAGTGAAAGTCGCATCAGTGGAAAGGAATGAAGTGATCTCACACAAGCAATGTCTCCTGTGGGAGCCAGTTTTGGATCATAAATACATTCATGCAACTGTTCTAACCAGCTGATTTATGAAGTCGACCATTTGGCATTGAAATGGAACTCATTTCAAAAGATTGGTGTTATCATGAAACACGTTCAAATAAATTCATTTAACAAAACTGTGACACACTTAAATGAAGAATTACAGTACTTTATTGAATTTTCTGATTGTACCTCAAAAGGGTGAAAGTCAAACAAATGTCGCCGCCTAAGCATTGCTGACGGGGGTGGGGGTGGGGGTAGGGGTGTGTATCCAGGAGGAGGGTATTGCCATACGTGAGGCGGCGAGAAGACTTTGTTTCTGCAATAATTGACCTTAACCACCAATAAAATTTGTTTTCATCGTATCATATGTGTTTTCTTTATAATACACAAATTCGTACTGGTTTGCTGTCCTTTGTTTACAGCGTTCTTACAGAGGTGTAGTCACACTTTTAGTCTTATTTTAAAGGTTAATAATTATAGGTATCTTGGGGTTGTCTTCACACCAATTTTGTCATGGTCAAAGGCACAAAGCTGTTTAGCAGCTCAGGCTAACAAGGCACTGATGTCATTATATAATTATCAAAGAAAGCATGGTTTTGTCTCTTGTACTGATGCCTTCAAGATATTTAATACGATTTATTGTTCCAATTATTTCATATGGAGCTGATTTTTGGGTACCCACTATTGTAAAACCATTGCATAAGAACACATGTGATGTTATGGTACTTGGTGAATGTGGTAGAGTACCACTTCAGTATAACTATATGTTAAAACTAATAACATATTGGTGTAGAATAATTCAATTAGATTATAATCGTTTACCTTGTCTTATTTAATGCTTTAAAACCTTGATGATGTGGGTAGAACTACTTGGGCCTCTCATGTGAGAAACATTTTATTTCAATTCGGTTTCGGAATTGCGTGGATAGGTCAAGATATTCGCCATGTGAACATGTTTATTTCTATTTTTACAGCGATTGTTTGACTCCTTTGAGCCAGGAATTGTATTACTTCACTCCTTGAGGCCAGGAATGGCCAGGAACTGTATTACTTCACTTGAGCCAGGAATGGCACTTGAGCAAGTGTCAAACTTATTGTCAATTTAAAACAATGTTACATGTTGAGTCTTATCTTTCAATTGACATTCCACGGCATTTAAGAACTGTTATCTGTAAATTCAGGTGTAATAATTTCAGGGTAGCGATTGACACAGGCAGGCATTGCAATTTAACTGCTAGTGAAAGATTTTGCCTATATTGTCATAGTAAAAAAATTTCTTGTTGAAAATGAATTTCATGTCTTGATGATCTGTCCGTTATGAAGAAAGAAGAGAATGTCTTCATAATAGCATAGGAAATAGCCCTTCTATGGACAATTTTGTTAGAATTATGTCAAGTACTGGTAAAAATATAATATTTAGTTTGTAAAGGTTTTTATATAAAGTCTTTAGGATGAGGTGAAATACAACAAATTATAATTAGATCTTCAGTGTACTATGCTGAAATATTATTTGATAGTTTAGTGTAGCATCTCTATTGTTATTTTACGAGAGCTTTTTTGTCTCGTCCGGTGACAAGATACCTGCAACATGACCAGCATGAATACACTTGTTAAACCCTTTTGGAATATATGGGCCATGGCCCTGAATACTCGAAATAAATTGTCTGTCTGTAGTCACAGTTGAATGCAGCACCGTCGAGGTGTCCATACATTATAACACTCGCACTACATGTGTCTAAACGTGATTACACGTAATTATTTATTTTTAAACTCTAGGCCCAACAGAAAACTGTCTGAAGTCCTCAATCAACGGAGTCGCCTCCGTTTGCCACCACCCTCCTGTTCTGCAGTCGGCCAATGAGTGCACAATGGGGGATTAACCATAGTCTGTTTTTATTTTTGCCATGAATTGTGGTGGCAAAGGTCTAATTGAAGTGTCTAGTAGACAAGGTAAGTGTAGATATACAAAGATAACTGTAGGTAACAAAATAAATGTGGTGGCAAAGTGAAATCAAGCATAGATAATTAGGTAACAGTAGACCTTTTGCTTGTTTTTATGTGTGTTTTTAAAGCTTAATTTTAATTTTCACTGGTTTAAAACATAATTTTATTTCGCCAAAGCAAAACATGGATGGGCGAACAACGTATGATGAGACAGCAAACGCCGCTGTTGTCTCCAGCAGCTGGATACATACAACCATCATGGTTTTAAGTTCATTCAGGGAAGTAGCGTTAACAGCTTCATCGGGCAAAGAATTCAACGACATAATCGCGCTCGGAAAATATTATTGAGAATATCTTTGCGTTCTACAGTTAGTTGTTTGAATAGAAATACTGTTTCTAAGATTATACTTGCTTTGTTGAATTACTCTACCTGAAACTCGTTCAGATAATCAAGAGTCAGGCGATGATACATTTTATAGAAAGTTAATAGTTTGAGCGATATGGTCTTTCTTTCAATGTGCTGTAATAGGTTCCCCTGTATATTTTATCGTGACTGGTGCCACGAGCCGCATCCAATATAGTTATTGATGCGTCTAAATGTAATTTTGCCAATACAATCGCCTGTCCAGTCGTACAATTATCCTATATATGACAATAGTAGTCGAGGGAAGGTTATACTCCCTCAGTCTTACTAGGATTAAAAAATAACTTGCCACTTTCTAGCCCAATCTGAAATCTTTGTTAATGTTTATAAGTTTGGTGTTATAAAATATTCGTGTGAAACGTGTACATATGTTTTGTTAATATCCTTGAATTTATATTGTACAATAAATGTAACCTCAGATTGATATTGTTCTTTTCCATATTTCTTGTCAGTGGACTTGCAATTTTACATATAAACATACGCTATCTAACCAAAGACGTCAACCACATAAGATAGGAAACAGACTATAACAAGAAATTCACTGAGCTGTAGGCCCTAATCCATTAAAACAACTGTGGTGGTGGTGGCAAAGTGAGACTAAAACCAATCAACAGAGAACAAGGATATATCATCCCATCGACCTACAATGAACTGATGGAGACAAAGCAGAACAAAGCACTCCATCATTGCTGAATTCATCCGATCAGCTATAAGTTGCAAGTTATTCCGCCTCATGAACAGATGGCTTCCTCCTATTATTGTTACTGCATTTTATTACCATTGTTGTTATTCATTGTACATTAATCCGCGCCTTCTTGATGCATACCGCCATAACTTCTTTGAGTGGCATTGTTTAGATGTTGAGAGTAATATACAGACAAACTTTATGGATAAACAACTTCTATATTCAGGTAGATGCGACGTTTCGATACAGATTCTTGTTTCGTTGTCAAGCAAGTATGGTGTAAAGGTAGATAACAAGGGACTATATTCAGTATATAATAAACTAAAAACAACAAGGACGTGAATTGGGATGTACAGTAACAATGTGATGACAAGGATTACAAGTAGAAGCCAGTGACTAGAGATACAAGTAGAAGCCAATGACTAGAAATACAAGTAAGAAGCCAGTGACAGAGAGAGAGCCCTAAGGGTGTGATTTACAAAATAGACTGCAACTGTATTGGACAATCATATATTGGTGGAAACATCAAGACCAATCAACACCAGAGTTAAAGAACACTTGGTGTCTGCAAGCAGAATCGGAGAAGAAAATGTTCAGTTATCTCTGAACATACCATAGGAACAACCTCAGTCATCAAAATCAACTGGACAGAGTACACACTGGCAGCCATGTGATCTGACTTCACCAAACGAAAATTATCCAGAAGCCATCCACATCAAACTGACACCGACCCCTGATCAATAGAGACCAAGGTTATTTCATCCCCTCTGCATACAACGAACTCATCAACCAACCATACCTACCTGTATAACTTATATAAACAGACTCTTTACATCCCAACTCTAGTGCTTGTATAAACTTGTATAAACATACTCTGTACATCCCACTGGTTTCAATGTGTAAGCCCTTGTAACTCGCTTCAACATGCACTCCCTTGTCATCACATTGTTACTGTACTTCCCAACTAAATTCTTTTGTAAATCATGTATATATACATAGCCCTTTTTCATACCTGCTTGACAACGATACAAGAATCTGTATCGAAACGTTGCATCACCTGAATAAAGAAGTTCTTCATCCATGAAGTTTGTCTGTATATGCATACAGACCACCGCCATATAACTGGAATATTGCTGAGTGCGGCGTAAAACTAAACTAACCTCACTCAGTCAAATATTGATACCAGCTGTCGCATCCTGCAACACCAGTGGCACGCGTCATAAGCATAGGCAAAGACGGGTCAGAATATCGCTGAGTGCGGCGTAAAACTAAACTCACTCACTTACTTCAATCCAAATGTTCTGTGTAAATCATTCTGTGCTGTAGTACTTCACTCTTGCTTGACAACGGTATCGAATCTATACTGAAACCCCGTGCATCCCTTAATACCATAAAGGGTTATGTCATCCATAAAGGCGTCTGTACCTTTCTTATTAATCATCAAATTCTCAAATGTCAATAAAAATGGCATCACTATGGGACCAAAGATGTAAAATATGGTGAATGGCAGGTGCGATGAAGACACACAAGTATGGCGTGGGAGTGTATATTGCCGTTCCTTAAAGTGAAAAACCCGAGGATCAAATCACAATTATTAAAGCGATTTGCTGAATGTTCAATGAATTATCTATATTCGTACTTTTGGGGAGCCTATTTCCTTCCTGGAGAATATGATAGTTAGGGAGAGAATTATAGCTGAACAGGACTTTCTGTGATAGTAGCGACCACTGAACAGTATTGTTCTATGGAGTCCTTATAGGTCTTGAAGTCTATAAAGGTTTAACAGCACGAATACAGGACATGGAACACAACTGTTTTTATTCAGTTGAATGGTTTTGCAGAGCCATGAGATTGTTCAGTGTTGGGCAAATGGCCATCCCATGCTGCCTCCAACAGTGGTTAAACTATTATCACAAAAGGAGCCAGCCTCTGTTCCAAAAATATAACACGCATACACACGCAATTAAAGAATGTATAGTTTAGCACATTGTGGCCTATCCCACCTTGAAAAAATTGAATAAGATTTCGTTTAGTGACAGTTACTGCGAATGGTGTTTCTGTGTGTCGACTTTGTATCAGGATTAGATGCTGGCTGGCTTTTTCCTTTCACCAAGTTTAATCTATGTATATTTTATCAATATAATCTCATCCCTAATGGTGTTTGGAAGCATACATAGACTGTCTGCATAGTTTGCATGGCTGCAGATGTTTTGTATTAAGCAAACGCCATAAAAACAGACTCCTAGTAGATACCAACCTTTGAGAATTCCTTGAACATACACGTTGGTTCCATTGACAATTCAAACAGTGCACACATGACAGTGATCTTATTACTACACTCTGTACATTGACTTTTTTGATATTTTGAACAGGAAGGATTTGGCATCCATCTTTTAGCTTTAGATCAGATCCTCCTCCTGTAGGTTTCCATTGAAGTCCACTGGCAGATGGAAGCGAAAAGGACCCATGGACTGCTGCATTGCAGGTATTGGAAAAGTTAGGACCATAGTGAAGATTAAGGATGTAGACAGAAGTTCACATTAGTTCCAGTTCTGTCATCATGTTCTGCACCTTCTAACACTCCGCCCTAAAAAGGATTTGAGGGGCAGATTCGTGGGATAGACTAAGGCGATTATTAGAAGATGCCAGTGTTGGCTTAGCCTCTCTCATTATCCATCTGACGTTCCTGGAAGAACTGTTTCATCTGTTCCTAGCGACTGGAGATAGGTGTCCAAGCCTGTGGGTACAAGAGCTGCTTTTCTTTATCTTTGCCTGATGGGACGGATGAGATATCTGGAAACCATCTTTGTCTTCCTCTTGGCTCTGGGAACAAAAAGAGCAAAACTGGAAAAATGCTTTAAAAATGAATGGCCTGAAGTCCGGTGTAGATGTTCCAATCAAATAGAAATACCTCTTTTTCTCTCATGGGGTCTCCAAAAACATTCAAAAGTCTATTTTAAATCCTAACCCCACCTTTTACTCGTAGAATATGTGTGTCTTTTAAATATATCGCTAGATCTGTATGAATTAAGTTAACAGCCGAAGGGATGGTGGGAATCCAGCTAGGGTCCACGCAGGAAGCAAAAGTGTGCTGTAAGTCCCTATGGTCCCTAGTATGGTGATCTACCTTCAGTTGCTTTTTGGCAACATATAGGCTGTTTTACATTGTTCTTGTCATTTCTACTTAAAATGTTTTTTAGATTTAATTACTAGTTTTAAATGGATATCTGTGATATACTAGTAGTTTTACTGTTCTTCGTCAACAGGCTTTTATTTTTTTTCTAATTTTATTGATCTATAATATAATTATTATTAATTGTCTTCGTCACGATATGGATGAAATATTGCCGATGTGACGATAAATATTAACTCACCTACTCACTCTTTTCTCTCAAGATATACCTTATGTACAGTTTTCCCCGAAATTATTGATAAAAATCCTTGTTTCGTAATAATTGGATAATAGAATTTTAAAATAGGTGTTACATTATGTATCATTACGATACTCAGTGTGGGAGGTAACTCTTTGTGGGCTTAAGAAATGAACCTTACTCACAAGAATATCCAGTCAGGTGCTGGGATTGGAGCACATGTCAGGGCAGGGAGGCCAAGGAAGCTCATTACTACTGATCAACGGCGACTTGGGTGAGATTGTAAGCAGGGGTGAAATGCCGCTGAGTAGAATATCCGAAATGATATGATTACTAGGAGGAAGTCCCTAGGGTATGTAATGAACCCTTGGGAAACAAGAATTGGCAAATACTTAACTGAATTCGAAAAGCATGGAATTCCCCTCACCAGTGATGAAAGACTGGGATAATGTTTTCTTTTTTCTGATGAAAGTTTCTCTGGCTTTTTCCAAACTGTGTGAATATTTGGACAAAAACATACCGTGAAACCCATCTACCATAGCCCCAAACAATTTCTACATGTGGGGTCGGGATATCCTCACGGAGTGACGCCGTTGTGTATTTTCACTGACATTTGACGAAGGAACGATATGTTGACATCTTAAATGATCACCTCCCTTCCAACGGCCCGAACAACCATAGCGAAGATAATTGGATTTTCCAGCACGATAACGACCCCTCAACACACTGCGGGCTACAAAACAGTGGCTGTCGGACGAAAATGTTCAAGTTTTAGGACTGACCCAGCAACAGCCCAGATTTTAACCCTATTGAGAATGTGTGGGGACTAATGAAGGACAGAAT